GGGCAGCTACTTTAATGTAAAGATTTTCTTTTTTTTTCTGGGTAAGCCTATCTGCAGATTGGTTTTCTTCTACCACTTGCATTTAGTAGAGTTCGTGTACTGTGAAATGACTAGAATGCAGCATGTGAGCAAGAACCTTCAATTATCTCTTTTAAAAATTATGTTTAGGTGAATACCAGTACAGCTTCCTGGCATTAGTGCTTTATTGTTGGTGCCTGTTTTGTTTGGGTGGTAAACCATAGCCTGTTTCAACAATGTGTGCATTAAAAAAAAATTTACACATGAGAGAAAAGGAATCCTTGCCTTGCCTTTTAATTACTATTAGGAACAATTACCAGTCCTTCAGAAAGTTGGAAAGTGAACTGAGTGAAGATTTCAAAAGCAGGAAAGTGGGTGTAAATTTAGCAAAATTTCTATTACTGCATTGATTCTTTTATATATACATATATTTTGAAGTGGAGGTAAAATGTAGCAGAGTTGGCTCTCATGTTTATATAGATTCATTCTAAATTGAACATTCTTTTTGATAGGCTTGGTGGTCAATCATAATATCATATATATGGGATGTGCATTTAACGTAACCCAGTAAGACACAGGAGTCCTCCATTAAATAGTCTGTACATATTCTACATGGAAGAACTATGGTAATTTCCACAATTTCCATACACTGGTTGGAAACTTGAAATGGCCATTAATAGTTATTGAAACTCCTTCAAGAATTTGGAAGCTCTTTTCCTGTTAAAATTAATCGGAAATAGGCATCCCAGGGTCCTAAAAATCTTGTAAATTCTCAACCCATATGGTCATTGAAAAGAGAGATCAAAGAAAGGACATATAAATTGAGTGCCTTGTTCTTTGTTCTTCTAGGACTACCGTAGAGGTTTTTTCATTCAGTATATTTTTATATCTTTGAAATCACAAACGAAGAAGAAACAAGTAGGGGCATGATAGGTTCAAAACTTCAGGAAATCAAAATACAAAAATTTTCCAGTTTTTCAAGACTTAAAGATTTTGAATCATGTCAATAGTGTTCAAGGATGTTGACAGATATGGAAATAAATTATTCTTTCCTCATTTGTGTTATCGTAACACATGCAAAGTTTCCTGGCTCAAATGCTTGGTACAGAATTATTGCCCTAACTCTGAGATAATCAGTAATTGCAGCCATTTTGCAGTCACTGTGATACCGATGACCAAAACTACTTGTAGGATACAAGTCTTACTAATGGGGGATGAAAGAAGAGAAGTAAGCTTTGCTCGCTGTCCTGTCCTGAATAAACTAGTTCTCTACTTGTACTCTTAACTTCTTCAAACATGGAAGTGACCATTTAAGATGGTCACTTGGATGGTTAAGTACATGAATTTGTAACACAGTTCAAATCATAGTTTTCCATGAGCAAATGATTTTATATTTTTTTGCTAATTCTTCTTAACTGAATAACTACTGGTCCACAAAAATAACTTTTCTGGGTGTTTTTAAAAAGTGATATTGCAGGGATTAATCATGCAGTCTGTGCTTGGACAGAATTCCTTCTAAAGTCAATGGCACTTGTGCCTCGTTGCAGGATGTGGGAACGTGCCAAAGAAGAGCATTCTACGCTCAGAAAGCATTTGTCTTTATATTCTGCCATTAGTCCAAATACAAAGTCTGGCACTGCGTTTCATGACACGTGCTGCTCCACTAGTTCTGTCTAGAAACAAGCTCTTTTCTGTGTAAAATATTTTTACTCTTTCAAGTCAGTATAACAAACAACACGAGGAAAAATTATTTTCTCTGAAAACTTCTTGAATTGAAAGTGCTGCAAATTTACAAATTCTGACATATGCCCTTTAAAACTTGTGCATCTACTGTTTTTATTTTCATTATACATTACAAGTTATATCCGTAATGTTTAAAAATGTTCTATTCCAGCAAAAATATGGCTTTTAACCAAATAAAAATGTAAAGCCAACTTGCTCTAAAATCCATCTGTTTTTCATTTTCTTATAATCTATAATCAGGAAATCCATTCATACATGACATATAATTTTTGCGCTTTCAAGTGGATAGTGGAATGCGATGTTCTGCATACAGTCACATCTAAATTGGTAATTGTCCAGGCAGAGCGTAATTTTAAAGTATAGGATGAAGGAAGGTTTAATTTGTATATTAGAAGTCTTATACATCTTTTTGCCTCTGAATGTAAATGAGGCCATTCTCTTCGGTGGATTTATTTGAAGGTGGGACAGCTGCCTCAGAGGAGGCCACAGCTTTCTGAGTAAAGAGGATACGGTTTAAAGAGCTGGTTTAAATGCAGACTCTTCTTAACTGTAAACCGCATGCATGCATTCATCATTGATTTTCAAATGATGGGTTTCTGTATCATTGGTTTAAGGTCCACAGTCTTACATTCCTGAATCCACATTATACCAAAGAATAACAATTTGGTGGCTGGAAAGAGGAATGGTTATTATATGGCTCCAAAATGCTAGCTGGCATAATATGCCATGAACAGCAGAAATCTGCTGGTAAAGAGAAGATTGCAGTAGTTCTTAAAAATAATTCGATGTTCTAAAAATATAAATGTAAGAAATGTTATCACTGTTCAAAATATTTTACTTCAGTAGGTAAATAATGTAAAGGTCAGGCAAAAGTTTCTAAAGTTTGTTATAGATGCATTCTTTCTCTTAATTTTTAATAGAAAATGACGTTAGGTAAATAATCTGTAGAGATCTTTTGTAGAAAACTCTTGTAGAAAATGGGAGTTCTTTATTCTAAGGGTTTCTGTTCTCTGAAAATCACAACAGGCAGATTACAGTGCGTGCTGTTTTGTTAAATATCTCAGGCTTTATGTTGTAGAACTAAAAAAAAAAAAGAAAAAATACACTGCTTCTTCAAACAGCTTCATTTTCTCTTTCTGAGCAAATGCTTGTCATACAGCAGATTTCACAAGGCAGTCTTACTTCCCGTTGGTAAAATAGTGTCTGTATGAAACCAGATAAACTCTACTTTTGCTTCGGTTTCTTATGTTGACCACTCCTCCACATCGTTACTGCTTTTCGGTGCTCAGTTTGTCAAAGACCAACTTTTAGGAGACACTGCAGTTTCTAGAAGAAAATACTGTTGTGCATTCAAATTCCCCTTCTCATTTCTCTGCCTGTCGTAGCACATAGCATTAAGGAGAGCATATTATGTAGCAAATCCATGTTGAGAGCAATCGTTCATTTAAAAAAAAAAGCCTTCTGACACAAAATGGAAAATTCTTGACTCTTCTGCTATTTTAGCTTGATAAGTGTAAAATACAGGGTTTTTTTTTTAAATTAACTCATTTTATCTCACTCACTATAAGATATTACTAAGGAAATAAACAATAAGATTAACTATGAAAATATTTTAATGCAAAATCTCTGAAGTCATCTGAGTGCTTCTGTGTTTTCATCCTGATTGTTTTTTGCAGAGGCTTGTATGATTATTTTAATAAAAAGCATATGAATAAACAAGTCCGGGCAGACCTATGACTAAAGGGATCTCACAAATACGGAAATCAAGCACTTTGTGATACTTTTCCCATGTCCTAAGCCTAGTGTTCACAGTTCAGGGTCTTCCAGAGCTTGAAGTGCTGTTTTTGGCATTTAATAGGCCTTTTTTAAGGCATATATTTTTCCCCATGGATTTGCTGATCTGATAAATACAATTAGTTAATGTGCTTGTGGATTAACAACATGATATAATGTTAGTCATGCTTGGACACACTTCATTATCCTAACTAAAATACAGATTCACTCTCGTGTACTGTCATTTTTATGCCCACCTCGTGGAATTCATCAAATGTAATTCCATAATCCATTTATGTCCTTTAGGGCTGTAAACCCCATTTCATGTGTGGAAAAAAAAAAAAAGTGAGATGCTGAGTTCTTCACTGAGTTCAGGGCTGCAAAGGAAATTCAAAGGTCCAGGGCATCTAACTCATAGGACTTTGCCAAACTCACTTGCTCATATTCCAACACTGTTTCTATGTTGTGTATCTTTACTTTCTTGGTATTTATCCATTAAAGTTTTCTCCTCCTGTAATACTTTTCATGCTATTCCCTCTCTATGACTGGGCAGTTGCTGCGTCTCTCTTGAGCCTGTGCAGACAGAATTTCAAGGCTACACTAAAAAGTCATCTCTTTCCCAGACTTTGTGCAGGTAAAAGGTGGAATTAGGCGGATGAAATAGGAAGGTCTCATTTTTAGTGGGATGGCAGGCCAGTAACCTTACAGACATACAGCTGTCATTGCTACGTAGTGAGAGAAGGAAACCCTTTTCTAAAAAAGGCAAATGAAGCATCTGCCTGTCAGAATTGTTCCTGGGGCCTGCAGAAAGCAGCAGAGAGATGAAGATGAAAGATACGGTGGTATTTTCCAAATAAGGTTATGCTCTTGCTCCCATTGACTTTAGTGTTGACAGAATCAGGTCCAAAAAGTGTGGTGTAAAAGAGAGCCAAAAACATTTAAGAATCTTCCTAGCCCTCCCCCCTGCCTTTTCTGGAAATTATAGGCTTGCTGTACTCATCCTTTGTTTAAAAACAAAACAAAATCATGACCTGGAAAGGGCTGAGTCAGGCAAGGCAGAATCCTCTGCAGTTGTCGAGAAAGCACAGCAGAGCTTTGACTTTTTTTTAAGCCATAAGATTTCCTGACTTTCCTGATTCTCTTGTCAGGCAAACATTAGATCTTGGCTGCTTCGAGTGCACGGTATATGGTGCTATACACCATAGTACTGTAAACCAAGTCGTATAATTAATTTCGGCATATTGTGGGGTTATTGGCTGCCATGAAAGAAAGCATTTTGAGACTGGTTGTTCCAAATATGGCATGTGTTGTATTTTCATACAAAAATACATTGCATGGCGCAGGTATTTACACTGAATTTTTTTACTGAACATTTTTAGTTTTCAGTCTTAAGAAATACAGTGGGCTTTATAACCATTCTCTCTCTTTACTTCTTTTCTTTTTTTCATTTTTTTTTACCTAAACAGGAAATGGATATGGCAACCCCCGCAACTCACCAGGTCTGCTGGTCTCACCTGGCAACTTGAACAAGAATATGCAAGCAAAATCTCCGCCTCCAATGAATTTGGGAATGAACAACCGTAAACCAGATCTTCGTGTGCTTATTCCACCTGGCAGCAAGAACACGATGCCATCAGTGGTAATGCATTTTCAAAGCTTGTTTTTTTTGTGTCCTTCAGATAAGAGATATTTAAGAATTTCAAGGCTTGCTCAAAGCAGCTAAAATCAGCAGAACAACATTCCATGTTCTTGCTCGTGTGGTCTTTCTGTCTAACCTTCAGGCTTGACATCGAGCTGAGGATGTAGGCAGAGCCTGCTCGATTGCTTTTATGAAGTCATATTTACTTCCTCCCTTTTTTCTGTTGAGTGGCAAAATAGGAACTGTGTCCTGCACAGTCTAAAATCTTGCAGTCTCTTTCCTAGTAGCTGGAAGAACCTTTCCTGGATTTGTTATAAAGGCTGAATTTAACCCTGAGTATTCCTAACCTACTGTGTTTTTCTTAAATATTTAGCTACACATACTCTCAGCAGATGGCAGATTAGCTACAAATAAATTAGTTTGAACTCTATCACTGTGAGCTCCAAATTTTATAACTATAAGAGGTAGTAAAAACATAGAGCAGGATAAAAAGGAGCATGAACCTGCTGTATCTCCTGCCAGGATTAAAAAAAATTAGGCAGGCTATTATGCTAGAAGGGTGAATCATGAAGGTGTCATGTGCAGATCTTGCAGTTCCCTTCCGAAAGTCAGTTAGTGGTTGCAAGTAAATCTTTCATGAGTGACTTAACATTAAAAGTGAACTTAATTTAAAAAGGATCTCGATGGTAAATTTAAGTGACACTACAAATGCATTTTTCCGTTATGTAACAGAGACTATTAAAACAACTTCCAAGCTGGCTACTTTAGCTCGACACGTAATAAATTAACTTTGAACATCAAACTAACCCCCTCCCACATAAATGTGATGCTGCCTCCTGAGAGGATAAGTAACAAACAGTCTCCTACAGGGCAGCGCTCAAAGTCGACCAAGGCAGTGACAAGCTGTCTGCATCCAATGATTTATTCCAAGGTCCTTAAAACTGATACTTTCCAAGGGATTCTGTGAATGGTCAGGTCTCCTGAAACCAGGTATAGCAACACACTCTGCAGCCACGGGGGCTGTGGGAGAAATAATGAATTCTTAGAGAAAGTCTTGTTCTGAAAACTGGGTAGATTATCCTCGCAGTTAAAACAAACATCCCATTAGAAGGACAAAGAGGAGAGCTATGAAGTGTTATTTTTCCCAACTTTGCTCAGAAAGTGGTAAATTTGCTGCCCCGATCAGGTGAAGCTATTCCCTAGGCTAGAAATCTGCATCATGGTAAACACTTATATTCACTAATTTTTAATGCTCCTTTCCTATGCACTCAGTCTGAGGATGTTGATCTGCTTCTGGTAAGTGGTAGTGATGTTCATCTTAATAACGAAGAAGAGAAAAGTTATTTTGGATGATTGATACTTGTGTAGGTGAAGTGTTGGTTGAAATGAAATGGAAACCTTTAACCATAACTGTTTTGTGAATGAAAAAATCACCATGATTTTTGAAATTTAGCAATATGGAAGGCCAGGTGTGGCTGTTGCACATACTCACATTATGCATGCTAGAATAAAGCTTTCTTAATGCTGGCATTTTGAAAGCATGTAAACTTGCCCTGTTGAAGATGGTGCAGCCTCATGACATTTTTTTTTTTTGGCTCTCTGGTCGTTTTGTCCTGCCACTCACAGGATTAGGGTTCTCTAGTGCAGTATTTACAGTGCAACATCTAGTGCCCCGGAGTTAAATGTGTAACTGCTGTGCTACCCAACGCTCTTGAAGTTTGTTTTATTGCACAAAAAACAGAGTAGTCAGAGCACCATCTGCTGGTAAGAGCTCAGTGTTCAGCAATCTTGGGGTGCCCCTCACTTTCAAAGCATAGAATCCAGTAGGACTGGGTTTAGGGTTTTTTCTTTTGCCTTTTCTTTTTATTTATTTTGAGTGAAAAGGAAAACAATGGGAATAAAGTTTACATATTTCATTAGTTTTTCACACGATCTTTTTTTCTACCCACAATAAAAGCAATCTTACTTGTTACTAGTTCAGTTACCTAGGAGATACTGATGTAATGGGTTACTATGGTGACAACTGGTCTCTTGAAGGCTTGTAAATGATAGGGTTGGCAGAGTTCATAAAAGCCACATGTTAAATGATTAATTTCTAGAAATTTGTGTCAGCCTCTATTTCTCATGCACAAAACATACCCAGAAATCTAATACACTCAACTGACTGAAAACTAGTCAATAATCTGTTTATTTTACTTACTTTAAAAGAATCAGAGGATAAATAACTCCCAGTCTGCTCAGTCATTGGCTACTCCAGTGGTTTCCGTAGCAACTCCTACTCTACCAGGGCAAGGGATGGGAGGATACCCATCAGCCATCTCAACAACATATGGTACTGGTGAGTATGGGTGCAAACCTAAAGAGGGGGGGGAGGGAGCAAGATGCTGGCAAGTGTCTGTCTCAGTACTCATGAACTAACTAATGCTCGTTGGGAGAAACTGAAATATTCATATCTGATGTGCTTTTGCACTTCGTTTACTTTGTATCTTTTCACTAACTTGAGATATATCTGTTTAAAAGTTAGCTATTTTTTACGAATGGAAAACTGCTTTGATAGCTTTCTTTCGTTGGCTTTAATAAATAATGTAACTTAAAAGACACTTCTTAATCCTCGTAATTCAAGAGGTAATTTCATGTAGTTGAGTGTCTCTTCCAAAAGGCATAGGATCATAGAATCATATAGGGTTAGAAGGGACCTCTGGAGATCATCAAGTCCAACCCTCCCACCAGAGTGGGTCTACCTAGAGCAGGTTGCACAGGATCTTGTCCAGACACTACTTGAATGTCTTCAGAGAAGGAAGCTCCACCGAGTCTGAGGCTCCACTGAGTCAAAACACAGCTCAATAACTTTGTGGGCTACCACGTAGCTACCTGGGAGAGACTAGAAATGGAGCCCCAAGAGACCCTTTCCAGTTCCCATTGCACATTGCTGCCAAACACAGCACGCTGGCTGACAGATCCAGTGCTCTTACAGGAGACCTGTGTTGTTCAGACACAAGCTGCCTGCTGGCTTCAACAAGGAAGAATATTATTAGATAAACAAAATATTCTTAGGTTTTTCAAGTCTTTGTGTGCGAGTGCATCTGTAGCTATGGTGGATAATACAGGCTAGGAGTGCTTTGCATTTTCCAGATCCAGAAAAGCCCTGCTAAATTAGAGAATAATTATTAGGGCATTATTTTCTCCCAAGTTAATGAGTTGAGGGAAGAGGAAGGTCTACTTTTTCTGCTGCAACTTAATGTGATTGGTGTAATTAAAATTAAAAGGCTTGTAAAGTGACATGTGAAAATTACGATGCTAGTTATTGTTTAATTGCTTCCTCTTTAATTCCCTTTTAATTATTGTCTTTTCTGTTTTCAAATCTAGAATATTCTCTGAGTAGTGCAGATATATCATCTCTCTCTGGGTTTAATACAGCCAGTGCTCTTCATCTTGGTTCTGTGACTGGCTGGCAACAGCAACACCTACATAACATGCCACCGTCTGCCCTCAGTCAATTGGGGTAAGCAGTGTTTTCTTTATTTTGTTGTTTTACAGTGACTTCATTCTCCCCAGCAATCACAAATCCAAAATATATCAAGGCACATATTTACTATGTGTAAGAGTTCCATTTCCCAAAACTGGAACTATGTATTTAATGAAATGTTTGCTATGTAGCTCAAATGAAGTATTCTGTGTCCATGACATCTTCTCAGTAATTTAGTAAAAATTATGGTTCATGTTTTATTCCTTATTTCTTTAAACAGCATTTTATTTCACTAGTAGAGACCAACCTAAACATTTATATTGTGCTGTTGCTGTATTTTGCCATTTATGCTTTTTATTTCCAGTTACTATAGCACAAACATTTACAGTAAACTTGAAAATTTTCTAAATATTTTTAATCAAGTAAGAGTGACATAATGATTTGACCTGAAGTTAAGCTTTAACCTTATTTAATAATCACATACTCCCTTCTGCTCAGCTCTGACATTCAAGTTTCATTTCTTTGGAAATGCTTTCTACAAGCAAACAACATAATTAGGTATAAGAACTGTAATATCACAAAAACTGTGATTTGCCTGTGTTGAGGAGGATAGGTGTTCGTGCCCTCTAGTGGCTAATTTCAAGGCATTTGTTCCAGGTTGGTGAAGCACACTGCTAAATCATCTCAGGATTTTTAGAAGTGTGAAAATTCACACAGCGAGGTCACCTGATGCATTCTTGGAAAAACAACCTGTAGGCTCATTGAAGTGAACTTTAAGAGTAGTATTTTCAAAAATCCTGGTATCTGCAGTTTCTACTGAGTAAGACCATAGGCATTCACCAGCACACCACACGTAGCCTAAGGTATAGCAAGACATGTTTGAATTTTAGAAGTTTTCATTATAAAAATAGAAGCTGAAAACAGCTGGAGTGTATTTATGAGGAGAAATCAAAATCACATGCATTTGAAAAGTAAACTCCTTTTTTTTTTTTTCCCCAGAAAGAGGTGTTGCACATATGCACTAATTTTTTTGCATGGTAGTTTCCGTAATGTCAAACTATTTAACACTACAAATGTGGCTTAAACTTTGAAATTCTCCTTCTAATTTATCTGACCACTTTTTGTAACTTACTATAATTTCATTACCATGTACAGACAGTTTGGATTTTTAAAGGACAGCTCTAGAAGTGTTTCAGAGGAAACAAAATTTTTTTAAACCTCGTTTCTATATAAATAAGCATATACAGATAATAACTACATAAAAACATAAAACTGAAATAGTTGCTGTGCTAAAAAAAATAATATTAATACCTTTCTCATGCTGCTTCTGTTTTCTTTTTGAGTTTGCACTGTTTCTGGGGCAACGTTCAGGTTAACTGTACAACTAAAGGCATAAAGTCTCAAATAAATTGAAAACTCACATGTTAGGTATCAATGTATAACCTTACAATAAGCTGATTGTTTTCAGTGGTGTACCAAAGAATGTAATAAGGCCGTTTGGTTAACCAAAAAAGTATAAATTAAATCCTAAACTAACTACATGCCTTTTCAGATATGTCACACATCGTCATCTGTTTCTAATTCATATCACAGAATGTCGAAGTGTAATGGCTGTGGCTGGTGGAATACATTCTGAGTTGCTACTTTTATTATTATTCTTTCAGTGATTTGTAAATGAATTCAGCTATGAAAGCTGCTTCACTGACAGTTCTGGAAAAATCTTCTATCTCTGCAGAAAATCATAAGCATTTCTTTATTTTATTTTAGTCACTGAGTTCTACATGCAAAAGCACTTGTGCTAACCTTTGGATTGTTTGAAGAGCTTGAAATTATATAGAATATATTCAATCCGTGTCAACCGGAGCTAGAATTTGCAGGAAGATTAAAGCAATCACACAAAATTTTAGTCATCCCCAGGTATTTGAGAAAACGCATCTAGAAAGAGTTTGACAACCCGAATTCCTGCGCTGAGTGAGGTCACACACTGGAAAGATTCGGCAGCTGGGAGATGTTTGTTGAGAACAGTAGGCTGTAAAGACCTGTGAGGAAACAAGAGTTTTACTGAAAGAGACATCCTAGATCTCTGGCAGGTTTTGTTTTTCACTGGAGCTCAAAGGTGAAAAACAGCTCCTTTCCCTCTGTGCGTGGCAGAAGAACGTGGTTAGTAATAGAATAGGGTATGGTTAGATGTATTGGCTTGCTCCAGATAAGTCCCCAACAATTCCAGCAGCAGTGTCAGAACCTTCTTTAAGATAATTGGAGAAGATCTCTACAACCTGCCTCTTCGTTCTTCATGTTGGCTCTGCAATTAGCAGTTACCTGGTGCCGGTGGGGCTTGAGGGCAAATACCTGAGGACATGAGTGTAGTTCACTTTCCCTGTTTTCTCAGCTTTTGGCCTTTTGCTGAGCCCGGTGATAAAGATAGCAATGTGGAGCTTGCTTTGATATGACTGGGATATTAAAACCAGTCAAACTTTTCAACTTTTTAGGTTAAAAAGCAAAACAGTACTTTCACAGTCTTTTAACTAGGTCTATGTCTGGGAAAAATACATACAAATTCAATCTCTCCTAAAAATTTGGAATTTTGTCTGAACATTGCTGCAATGTCTCTTACAGAGACAGTTACTGCTTATTTAACATGGAGCAAAGAGTCTACCAGAAGTTAATTGCTGCTAACCAGAGAGGAAGTCCCTTCCAAAATTTGAAATAAATAATCTAAAGTTTTTAGGCACAAGTCCATTATATGGAAAATATTCTCTTTCATCCATATTTCCCAGGCTAGGAGAGAATCTTCTCTTCCTTAAGAATCATCCACAGGTGAAATTTTGTCTTTACTAAAATATAAGTGCAAACACAGAAATACAATGTCATCTGAAGAATTTTCAGTATAGGTAGTTGTTTACCTAAAAGAAGTTTCTCCAAACTTCTGCCCACCTGAACAAAAAAAATTGTCCAAATTCCTGCATAGTGTTGACTTGTTCTGTGACACTTCCATAACAAGCTTATTACTTAGCAACAATTAATTTTTATTAGGTAATAGACATAGCTAGACAGGGGGAAATATTCTCCCTTGAACCATTTTTAGTGAAAAATTTAGATGCCGTGGCATTGTGTTTTGTGAATTTGTATCAGTTCTGCCAACTTCCTTGTTTTGAATAAAAGCCTTATATATTTAGGATTGAGCCTTTTTTCTTTTGCCACTATTGTAAAAAAAAAGATGTTCCAGTGATTCAGTTTCATACTATTCTTCATTTAGAAATGTCTTTTTTACGTGTAAGACCTTAACATGTGAAATCGAGTTATCTTGAAACAGAAATTCTTATTCTGCTTTCACATGAATCAAAACATATGAAGAAAAAATGCTTTTACCTGAATGAAAAAAAAGAGCAGAGGGAGGAAGGTTGCATTGCCAGCAAGTCAAAAATATCCTCTATTCTCCTAGTTACAGACTAGCACAGAGCTAGAGTTACATAACTAAATTTTGCAGTGAATTCTCAATGGTTCCTTTTATGTATTTATGGGGAAAAATTATATGAAGTGAGGAAGTAAACAAATTTAGAGAAGCAAGTGTGGGCATAGAAGAGAAGGTATGTGAGGCTCTTTCTCCCTTCGCTAGACCACTCTCTCCCTCTGTAAAGACCCCTCTGGTGCATGTTCACGTCCTCACCCATCACCTCCTCAGACCTGCAGGTCTGTCTGTGCATGCTGAGCCCCCGTGCCAGCTGGAGATTCATGTAGGTGGAGACACACACAGAACTGACCTCACTGGCATCAGCAAGGACTAAAACCCAGGAGGAGACGAGCTCGTTGCCTCCTGACTCGTTTCCCACCTCTTAGCTGGTCGGTGTTGAGCCCAGAGAGCAACCAGCATTTCTCCCAGGTGGCTGCTGCACTCTAAATAAACACCACGTTTTCACTACGCTGGTCTCAAGGGGAACTGCTGTGTGAAATTAAAACTTTAATTTTCTTCGTTGTCCCCATAAAATGAAATGTTTTTATACAACCTATGGGAAAAGGTGGTTAGGTCAACATGGGTGGACTGAGTGGCACTTACTGAGTGCTGTTAATTATATACAACCCATTGAAGTAATTGGCTTTATTTTCTCTGTGGATTTTCCATATTTAAAACCTGTTTGTTTTTCAGTGAACCTAATGTAGGTTTCAAATGATGAAAATAGGGCATGCCTGGACCAAAATTACATAGTTACATGAAGCAACAGTGCAAAATATACATTAATACATAGAGATACAAACACTTGTTTCTACACTCAGACACATGTACATGAAAATAAATAATTTTGTCATTTTGTAGCAGACAGAATCCTCATTTATTTTATAATGCTGCTTCTATTCTAAATAGAGGTCGATCCTATGTTTAGAATATGGGTCTAAAGACTGCAGCTAAGTATGTGCTACTTCACCATTCATGGCTATGTATAACAGCAGGTTTCCCTTGTAATTGACCATTTTAGCTTACCTGAGATTCAGAAAATTTTAATGAAATTATGTAAATTACAGTCACCAAAAAACAGAAATTAAAGTTCAGAAGTAGTTTCAGCAGAAAAAGGCCGTATTATATTGTTTTAAACCTCACAAATTTAGTCCTGACTTGCCAAAATGACTTCTTAACCTTGTTTCAATTTGCGAAAAAGTGCTTAAAATGCGGATCAACCTGTAGCATTTTTAAAACTGCCACAGATTTGTATGCCAGGTATTTACATAACACCACTGATGAATCACAAGGAATCTAAAGAAAAATCTATAGAGCTGCATTCTCGTACTCACTTCTGGAACACTACTAAAAAAGCAACATTGCAGTATAGCAAAACTAGCTCTGTTTCACAGAAAATGCAGCTTTCCCCTGTAGATTTATTCTTTTAGAGGCTGCCACATGATAGAATGCAAGTATGTTCCCTGAGAACAAATTTGACTGAATATGGTGTTTTTTAACTAGCAAGGTGTTTTAGCTGTCCCCAGCTTTGCAAAGTGACATGTCATCTGCTCACATCAAACACTTCTAAATCAAATCCCCAGGCTCCACCATCCTGTGTTACAGGACTTCCAGGTTGAGCTACAAGCTTGGCATCTACAGTCACACCTAATCTTATCATACATGCTGAACTGGCAGCCTCTCTTCACAGGTGAAGTCCTAGCATCTCCTAAGCAACTGAAAAATAAAGTCACTGGAAATGAAAAGCAGAAAAAAAAAAAAAAAAACCAACAAAACAGGAAGGGATTTTTGATTCTTGTTGGGTTCTTTTCAACAAGTTTTTAGGAAAAGAGTGGAATATTTCACTACATTGGAATGACGAAATCTGGTACTTACGGTTTCTGATATGTGTTAATTGAATAGTTACAAAAGCAGAGAAAATGTCCCATTTGCCAAAAAAAAAAGCCTACGTTTGCTAACGTGAGGGTTATTACTCACTAACTCTGTTACTTATATAAAGGATTGCTGCAAACCTTGATGCAGTCATCTGTATGGGAATGAAGGGTAGCTAAAAGCAATTGGAGGTAGAACATCCTGTTTCCTCTGTTTGTTGCATCCATTATTAACGATTGCAATAATTCCTGATAAAAGCAGCTGATATCATTTGCTATTGAAGCTATAGAGTTCCATTTTAAATCTGTCAGAAGAAAACAGCATTTTGCCTCTCGTCAAAGTTATAGTGAATGTTGCTTAAGTAAAGCTCAACTCCCAGCTAATGAGATAGCAGGAAAAGTGGAATTTCCCCATAAATGAAAAGACCACATCTAAACTTAATTGTTTCTTCTACGCGTTTAAAAAGTACTTCCCAGTATTTCTTCTGCTTGCAGTAAAAATGCTTGCACATCCCTTTGGGTTTAAAGTCTTCTGAGGTCCAAGGAGGCTGTTGCCTCTGCTGCCTTCAGCCTCCCCCTGCATAAAGACTCAGGAGGAGAAACCTTGAAATTGTGTCTCGGGGGTTAGATGCTAACTAGCCTGGCAAACGGTCCCTGAAGTGGAACATAATGTGAACTGCATGTTGAGAACTCTATTTTAATAACGAAGAGAGAAGTCAGGTTTTACCAGGAGGTGGTGCTTTTGTACAAAACATCCTGCAGATGCAAGTGATCTCATTTCTCCCGCAGAGATAAAGCACGTTCTCGGGCATTCACGCTCCTCCCTGCCTGTTTCAGCTTCCCGCTGACACTCCCTGCCCACAAAAACGCACAGAAGGGAAATTAACTTAGGATAATCATATATTTTGCCTCTGAAAAAGTTTTAGCGTAGCAGTTTCTCTCGAAGCTTGGAGCATCCTCTGAGCTGGGCTCTCCTACAAGCAAACAGTACAATCCTCTGACATCTTCCACTGCTCCTCAGCTTCTCTTGGGCAGTTTACTCAAAAGCACTCTGGACTGAGTTACGAATTCGTAGACTTTAAACCATAAAATCATATCTAAACCCTTGCCTGCCTGGGGTATGTTATTTCTGTCAGTCCTAGGGACCGGTAATTTCAACTCTTGTTCTGAAAGGTAAAAAAACATATACTCGGCCCGAATTTTTGTTTAGGTTTTTGCATCTGAAGCCGCATGTCAGAATGAACAGCGATAAAAATAGTTGAAACTAATTGGATTAGTCCCAGCAGAAAGTCGGTGCCTGCCCCGTCTCGGCTGCTGCAGACACACACACACAGCATTAGCTATAACGAAACCTGCAGGTGGTGCCAACAGTGCAAAGGCTCGCCCCCCCCAAATTTGTTGTGACACTTGAGTCAAAAAAAAAAAAAAAAAAAAAAAAAAAAAAAAAAAAAGAAAAGGAGAGAGATTGAAAGCGAGACCTCCTTTCAAACCGAGAGCACATCCCGCTCGACCGCCTTTGTCGTGATGCTTTCGTCTCTTTGAATTCTTGGATTCCTCCCCAAAAGCAGGGCTGTTCCCCCGCGAGCCTTTACACTGGTGTTTGGTGTGAGTGTTTGTGCATATCTGGGGGCTCCATGCCTCCTCCGTCTGTAACTGGGTTTCCTTTCCTCCTACAGAGCTTGCACTAGCACTCATTTATCTCAGAGTACAAATCTCTCCCTGCCTTCTACTCAAAGCCTCAACATCAAGTCAGAACCTGTTTCTCCTCCTAGAGACCGTACCACCACACCCTCGAGATACCCACAGCACACGCGCCATGAGGCGGGGAGATCTCCCGTTGACAGTTTGAGCAGCTGTAGCAGTTCCTACGATGGAAGTGACCGAGAAGACCACCGGAACGAATTCCACTCCCCCATTGGACTCACCAGACCTTCGCCGGACGAAAGGGAAAGCCCCTCTGTCAAGCGCATGCGGCTCTCTGAAGGATGGGCGACATGATAACATTAATACCTATTTAGTTGGGGGTTTTATTATTTTTTTTTTTTGTTTTGGGTTTTTTTTTTTCGTGTGTGGAAAAAAAAACAAAAAAAAAAAGTCAGGTACTCTGTTTTTGTAAAAGTACTTTTAAATTGCCTCAGTGATACAGTATAAGGATAAACAGAAATGCCGAGATAAGCTTAGCACTTGAGTTGTACAACAGAACACTTGTACAAAATAGATTTTAAGGCTAACTTCTTTTCACTGTTGTGCTCCCTTGCAAAATGTATGTTACAATAGATAGTGTCATGTTGCAGGTTCAACGTTATTTACATGTAAATAGACAAAAAGGAAAAACATTTGCCAGAAATGGCAGATCTCTACTGAGAGAGAAAGCAGCTGTTATGCAACATATAGAAAATGTACAGATGTTTTGACAGACCCAGCGGTTGGGTGGCCATGAATTGATGCTGGAAAGAGACGGGGTCACCTAACACACCGAAAATGCTCACAAACATGCAGGCGTATCGTTAAAGAGTATGGCACTCAGTTAAAAAGGATCAAAACATTTCAAGAGGACCATACTTGTGAAAATGCTGAGTTCGAGGGCTAACATATTTAATTTTAAAAATTCTGGGTCTGCATCACTTATTAAATAAAAAAAAAAATTATAAAAATATGTACATTACATTTTGCTTATTTTCATATTAAAAAGTAAGACAGAGTTTGCAAAGCATTTGTGGCTTTTGTAGTTTCCTTAAGCCAAAATGTGTTCTTTTTTCCTTGATAGCTTCGCTAATCTTTTAAACAGTCCTGAAGAAACAAACAAAGAGGACTTTTTGTATAGAAAGCACTACCCTAAGCCATGAAGAACTCCATGCTTTGCTAACCAAGATAACTGTTTTCTCTTTGCAGAAGTTTTGTTTTTGAAATGTGTATTTCTAATTATATAAAATATTAAGAATCTTTTAAAAAAATCTGTGAAATTAACATGCTTGTGTATAGCTTTCTAATATATATAATAATTATGGTAATAGCAAAAGTTTTTGTTATCTTAATAGTGGGGAATTATATTTGTGCAGTTGCACATTTAACTATTTTCTTTCGGTTTTCTTTTACTGGGTATACATTTTACAGGTCGGAGCCAGCTGTTGAAAGACTGATCTGTAAAAAGTTAGAATTTACCCATGGTGTAACAACTTAAATCATTTTAATACAGCATTTTACAATCAGTTGGGTGAACTGCGATCCATTGTATATACTGATTAGTTCTTTCATGCTGTTTTGTGCATTGTAACAAGTTAAGGGCCCTTCTATTACTTAAGTGTCCTGCGTATCTTGTAGTTTTCCATGGGTTAAATGGCAAAAAGTGGCATAAACTTGGCCCTTTCTCATTAATGAAGCTGGTATTCTGCCCGTCAGAATTGGATGTACAGCTCTAACGGCTGTCAGTTTCGTGAGTGCAGGTGAACATTTGCAGAGGCAGTAGGGAGAGTTAGAGGGAGGGACCGGCACCAACATGCCCCTTGTACAGATGACTCCCCTCCCTCACGGATCTACAACTCATCAACTAAAGGGCCGTTCAAGAGGTTGGTTGACCTTACTCAGCCAACCCTGGCCGTGGGGTTCCTGTGGACCTCTGCGGCCACCTCGTCTCACGGTGGGCACGTTGTTGAACGACGCTCACGGTGCTACTCGCACCCTCAGCCAGACTTGCTTCAGCATGTGGCATCCACCTTTTCCTCCTGCCTCGTGTTGTACCTTTGACTAAAAGAGGTCACCAGACACCAGGACACCAGAAGGAATTTCTGGTGTCATTTCTCTCAGTCCCTCTCCGTCCCCCCACCTCGTTTATTAGAAGAAGACGGTGTATTATTTGAATGTTCCAGTTTCACCTTTCTGTTGAAGGGGAAAAAAAGAAGTGTTTTAATTGAGCAGAATGTTAGTGCCGTAGTAAAAGTGTGACATTTCTCCTTTTTCCAAAGGGTCCTTCCAACTCTCACCTACGTACATTGACGCTATGACGAAGGATAGCTGCGACAGCTAAATACAGACACAGAATATATTTCCTTTAAGGGAAACCCACACTCTGTTTCCCAACGATAGATGCAGTTGCTGTTGCTCAGTGACAGGGTGTACCTCTCTGTAGTAGAGAAGGATGAACAGGCTACAGCGTGCATTAGGACATAATGCTTTTCACTTATCATGACTTTATAGACGCCTGCCTTACAGGCACTCTCAGCCGTGCAGGGGCTAGTGCATAATATGGAAACTCTTTTTTTTCGCGGAATACTGTGCTACTAATGCATCATCCATCTTATCTTGCGTAGCAATCTGCAGGGTAAAGAAAAAGATACGCATGTTTAAACAGAAAAAAACAAAAAAAACCAAAAAAAAACCAAAACACAAAAAAAAATTAAAAAAAAAAACCAAAACAAAACACACACACACAAAAAAAAAGGTAAAATGGGGCCCGTAATTAATTTTAAAACACAAAAAAAACCTGTTTTTGAAACCACTTTCTTCACCTTCAGACGAACCTATACTCATATTCTCTTGTGAGAATTTTAAAACTTTGGTGTGTCAAAAATATGCAAATATATCACAAATGTACCTTGTCATTTCAAGAAAAAAATACAACTTTATCAGTATTATAGTAGAAACTTGTCAGTGGGGAAGGGGATTTGGTCTATTGATATATGAAGAATAGCCATATTAATAGTTTACCTTGCGATTTGCCTCAGCAACGCATGAAAAAGGAAAAGATATCGTATTTAACGAAGATGCAGTGTAATATATTACTGCAAGTAACTAAGCAGAAAGTAGCGTGAAACGTATTGCCTGGGCAATTTATATTAACTCTGACAGTGATTTTTGTATAAACACAAGTAGAACAGAATCACGTGAAAATAAAATGCCAGTGGCCCCTCTTGTTCCTGCTGCAGAGGGCAACTAACTTATGCTGGCAAAATTGTGGGGGATAATGCATATTTGCAAACTGATCTAATGATAAGAAGCACAACTTTGATTGTGAAGTCACTTTCTGTAAACTATAACTGTCTACCTTTCTTGTTCCTTTATCTGTACCTTACCATTTATTGTATTTGCAAAGCTAATTTGGGTTTATTGTGTGATTCCTTTGTATTTAAGGAGTTTGGGGCAGAGCCCTGAAAGAGTATTAACATTTACTTTACCTTAACCCATGCTATATAATGTTTTAGGCAACATTCTTAATTGTAAGTTCAAACACCTGAAGTGGCATTCTAGACAACTGCAAGTATTGTTATAGCTAAGCTAACCTCTATTAAAAGGTGTTGTCAGTTAGTGTTTAATTGCTGGTGACAATTATATGATATACCCTATCTGCACAACCTGTATATTGTATGCATTGAGCCATTCGCAGTAAAGCTTTTGTCATTTCAGTGTTTTTCGAAAGTTGTGTTTTATAACAAAATGGCTTATATTTTTCCCAAAAGAGGAATTTAGCAGTTTTTAATGAATAATATAAAAATATCTGTTGTCCTCAGATCTTTTTCAGGTAAAGCTAGCATAAGAACAAAAGAACTCATAGACTGTTTTCAAGGATGTCAACCCTTTTGTATTGTATGTGTTATCCTATATACCCTCTTTTATCTATAGTCCTAACAGAGCTGTTTTGTTTTCCTTCTTCCTTCGCCTTGAAGGTAAATGCTTTGTAATTTTTTAAAAGCCACTTGAAACCTCAATAAAGGCTGTTGCCTAAACATGGCATACTTCATCTGTTCCTGTTTGTGCCATCTGCTGTGATGTCGTCAGTTATATGGCATTAATTTCCTGCCACTACAGGTCTCTTGAAGGACTGATGGAACATTGGTGTCTGTTAGAATGCTTCAGACTGTAGATGTAATAAAAGGCTTTTGTTAATATATTTTAACCAAAGATGTGGAGCAATCCAAGCTTTGAGCCACAGACCTTCTGCATCAAAAATATCCGTTTGATTATCTTCATAATCAGGTGTTGCATTTCTACCTTCCCTGCTCATACCTCAGACTGATCCGTACCTCAGTTTGATTCAAATAAAAGGTCAGTTAAGTAACTCATTAAAAATAAAAAAAAAAAAATAAAAAAAAAATGCAGTACCAGAGTCTTTTGTGGAGTAACTAATATCAGACCTGGGTTACCGCAGGCATTACACTTGGATTGCTTCAGATGGTTTGTTGTATCCTTTTTTTTTCTTTTTTTTTTTTTCTCTTCTCTTTCATGGGGATTTGCTTCCATAAAACAATGGTGATAACAAAATAGCTTGTAAATGGGAGCATACAAGCATTTGCAACAAATATTAAAGTAGAGGCTCACAGCGGCATAAGCTGGACTTTGTCGCCACTAGATGACAAGATGTTATAACTAAGTTAAACCACATCTGTGTATCTCAAGGGACTTAATTCAGCTGTCTGTAGTGAACAAAAATGGGAAAATTTCAAAAGATTCTCCTGCTGGAAATAAGGTATAATTTGTATTTTGCAGACAAATCAGTAAAGTTACTGGCTTTCTTAGTGATATGGTGTCTGTGGTGCATTTTTTTTTATTATTATTAATTTAAATCATGTTCCATTTTCACTGTTTTGCACTGTAAGCAAATGAAAGAAGGAGCACTTTAACAACCGGCAGATGCCTCCAGGTCCCTCTGCTTTGGGCTTGCTCAGGAAGTTAAGCACCTTTTTGTGGTGCCCTGAGCATATCGGTGCCTCCCAAATGCCAACCACACCTCACCCCACCGAGTTAGAGAAACTCCATCACTGCTCTGGAAGTCAGTGTCATCAGAACCTGGCCCTGATGCCTGAGCTAGTAGAGGAGCTCCCTGAGATAATGCCTGGCTTTTGGCTACTTAGTCCCTCCCAGGAAATCAGGATTCCCCTATAAATTCTACCCATGGGGAGAACCATGCAAAAACCCTGCAAAAAAACCCCCATGTTCTGTGTCAAAATAATATGTTATCGGGTGTATGTTCTATATATACTCCTTAACTTCATAGGGACTGCATCAGAATTAATCTGCTCCCTTTTGTGTACTTTTGCTGTTGTTATTTATTTTTTTCCTTACTA